AACGTTGGAAGGATAGCTATGCATTCCTTTTTTTCAAAATCATGCTTTTTTCAGAAAATTTTTTAATATTTTGAAATTCTCTCAAAATCTGACCTTTTAGAAATGAAACAAAATCTATGCATAGCGTAATGAGGATTTAAAGTAAAATATTAAATCAATGAAAAAAATCCCGATAGACTAATTTGCCTGGGAGCCCTTGCGTTTTTTCAGTATTAGTCACATGACCATGGGCGTGGCCTGATGACGTCATCACTCGTGTTACTAATCATGAAAAAGTTAAAACACATGAAATGACTCTGAACTAACTAAAAATGATGAGGTAATATGAGTATAAATTTTCCTTAGCAACGCCTCGAAAAGATCGGTTAATGGGCCCTTAAAGTGTCACTATGATCCAATTCTCGATATCCATTTTTTTACATTGTCGTATACAATGGGTCTTCCCCTAGATATCTTGCGAAATTTCAATCTATTACGAAGATTAGAACTCACGGTTTTGGACTTTTATTTTCGAGAATTTACGGCCGCCATTAATTTTCCCTGTTCCAAGTCTTGGTTGAGAATTGGAGTAAATGAAAATAGAAAATTGCACGACTATAAGAGCCAATGGTTATGTTATTCGTTATGCGAATTGCTTTTGGCGAGTTACACAACACGGAAAATTTGTTTTCTGACAACCAATTATGGTCAAAACGAATTTGCTGACAAATCGGAAAATTTATTTTCTTAACACAGATCTGAGGGTCATCATGGCCATTTGCCGAACTACACGGAAGATCTGTTTTCTTACCACAACTCACGACCGTTTGCCGTCGCCGAGCTACGAAACATTCTTTCCTGATAACGCAGGCTTTAGTTACTTGTTGTCGAAGGCTAACGAGTCAAAATACATATCTACAATCTTGGACAGAATAAAATGGAACAATTAGTGGACAATTAGTGGAAAATGGTGCTATATAAATGTATATTTATTTATTTATTTATTATCCCCCATCCCCCCCAAAGCAATGATGAAGGCGCGAAGGAGCAAAAGCGCGCCATTTTGGCATCATTGAAATGGGGGGAGGGGTGGTCCAGATGTTCCATTTATTTTGTCCAAGATTGTAGCTTGGCAGAAGTCATATACACTTCGAATCTTTGCGGCGAACACGTGACTTCCAACGAAATAAACGTGACTGTGTGCATACGCTCATGATGTAATTTGTCCCGGCTGTGTGGGGGAGCCAAATCGACGAACAAATCCTTAAATTTCTCGATCCAAACTGGGTCAAGATTGCGTAACACTACGTGAACGCACGTACCACATCTCCTGCCTTTTCCCTGTACTATCAAACCACAAAAAAGGCACAAAAATGTCTTGATAAGAGGTCTTGATCAGTCTTTCTGTGGGAAACGCAAGCCTCTAGAAATTACGATTCCCCACGAATCTCAAAAAGGAAAAAGTAAATCAGGACAAATTATCAGTACTCACGAGTCCACGGGCAGGTTTATTGGCTCAGAGGCTCCTTTCTCAACTGGTTAAAACTCGACTGGTTTGGTACTTCTCTCGACTGGTTTACAAGGTCAACTGAACTGAAATCACAAAACGCTTATCTGTTATTCTTGGTTTTCATGTGACGTATTCATATTCCAAGATTAGATATTATTTTTCCTTCTGAGGTTTTAGTTTCATCAGATAAAAGGCCCTATAGGAACGTGACGTTTGACAATGTTTTAGCTCGACAGAGTTTTTTTTTTTTGTAATAGAGCACTCCAAGCTTTTGCACTGCGCGACATGAAAATGGCGGCCCGAAAAGACTGTCGCGTAGGTCAAAAGATGAGCTATCGCTTTAGTTTTTTCTAAATAAACGGTGCTTGCACTAGAAGAAGCATTTATTTCAAGGTGTCGGAGCTCTAGAGTAAAAATTTTCGTTTCAATAGCAAAACTCAACGACAGATGTTTCTGTTATTTTATTGCCGCCATGTTTGTGCCCCTCCGAAGGTCACAAACAAGGCGTCCACATACAAAGGTATCGGTCGCACTAGGGAAAAGTTTTCATCTTTGCCGGCTAAAAAACCACAAAAATTAGAAACCGCAACCGGAAAGGAAAACTTTTAGACAGAAAACGGAGGGTCGCACCAGTGGGAGATAATTTTCAGGAACCAGACACTAGAAACCACGTTGTTTACCCACGTGCTTTCGATAGACATGATATCGATCGCGATCCAAACCGAAACAAGCATGCTTCTCGTTGAAGGAGTGCTCATAGTAATTGCGGTGATTCTCCTTCTGTTTGTTCAGCTTAACCTACAGCAGTTTGTTGTCTTTCGCTTGATGTACGAACGATGGGCAGACGAATGTTTGCGTTTCAACAGCGGCCATGATCAAAGGAAGAAATCGACGTCGACGAAGAATAGCTCGATCACCATATCGGTAGAGTCGTAGTTTGATCTTCACTACTACGACGTAACAGTACCAGAAGATTTTTTCGTCAGCAGCTTCGAGTTAGAAGAAATTCATTTAACCGCATTTTAAACATCCTGGGACACCATTTACACCTTTTGCTGTTCATTTACAGAAAACAAACATTCATTTGTGTCCACATTTCTTTCATTATGGTCATTAAACTCTCATTAACACCAATATGACCTTCATTTGCGTGTAAGGAACGTTCAAGAAAAACATTTACATATGCACTAACATTCAATATCATCAAAAGAAAAACAACACCTTCATTTGGCATTCATTGACTGTAAATGTATTTTCATTTTGGTCGAAAAAAAATTCGTTGTCACGAA